AGGCGTGATCTCAACAGAAAATGTGTTGGGTTTTTAGTGGTGTAGGGAGGAATTATTTTTGTTAATATTGTGGAATACAATAAACCCTTTGAAGACATATTACACGTCTGTATGAGTGACTTAATTTTTTTTTTTACATCAGAACATGCAATATAAATTGCTCAGTCCTACACAATTTGCAAACTACTACCACAGTGGCTATATTTGTTGAGGATTATTATTATATTGTTAAAATAATCTGTTCAAATTTAACCTTCTCATGATTAGTAAAGCTGTACGCTTGCAATGGCCAAAATTGCCATGATAAAACCATGGGCTAGAATTCTTCCATCGACCTTGTGCTGTCAATGGTAGGTCACCTTAGGTCTGCTTGAATGCAGTTGAGTGGTGGGGGTGGAGGAGAGAAGGAAAGTTAATGACAGCCTTTAATTGGTTTTTAATAAAAATAAACAATTAAATCATGTGCCAAGACTGTGCCTCCCCCTCTCTAATTTTTAAAAAAAATAATTTAAAACATGCCAAATCAATATATTGCCAAACAAACCCAAGATTATTTTTTTCGAGTTTGGCTCTTGCATCTAGTCTTACTCATTGACACAGAGTAACTCTCTACCTTTAAAGATAACTGGACTTGCCTCTATTATTTGAAATTCAGACAAAACCAAAACAAGAGGCAGAGACATAGACAATTTTTTTTCTACATAGCTAAGTCAGATAGCAATATCCTACCTTTGCCCAGGGTAACCCCTCACTTTTATGAGCACTAGAATTTACCCACGAACAGAATCATGAAATGTGAAATAAAGTTATTAATAAATAAGGATAATTTAAAAATATGAATATGTCTTATGATAATGATTGAAGTTTCCTGGTTAACTCATTTAAAAAGTCAACATTAATCAACAATATCGGCGATATCACAGTTATTTCTCTGTTCTTTGAATAGAAAATAATTAGTATCTCAGATAACTGTTGGCAAATGTTCACTTTTTATGCTGATCACTGCATTTGCCTCTTTTCTTGGTGACCACTACTTTACTGGAATTTTGAATTCTTGTGTTGTGCAACTGTCATCTTATAAAGTTTGACAAATGGCTGAATTCGGTCCTCTGCCCATTAAAGTAAATTCATTCAATTTCCATTAAATTCAGAAAGGTTTTTTTTTTCTATTTACTTATTGAACTGGGGAAACATGTGACCAGAGCTAAGCCTGATTTTCTTGAAGCATAAAATTAAGAGGAACAATACCTCTTAGAAAAGCATAATGCTTATGGATACACAGTGATGATATTTGCATATATCTTAGATATGCAGCATGCCATATACATGTGCCACTGCAAGTGACAGTGATGCCCACAGATTTGATGGCCTAGGTATGCTAGGAAATGATACTCCAGGGTGGTAAAAGAAAGAGTAATTCAAACAGAAATATGAGCACATGTTCTTCATATTACACATACACGGATGTTTCACCTACATAACCCACAGCCATTGTTAAGGTAATAACACACTACCTCAAGGGGTTAAGGTTTCATTACATTTTTAAGGACTAACAGGTGTGCCCCTATGGCTTGCCAAATACTTCATGATGAACTGCAAAACTAAACTGTAAACTCATTATTCACCCCCTGGATCACACTGCACCTGGCCAGTGAAATGGCAGTATTGGGATTTGTTTGGTTGTCCTTACTTGAATGCTATGGACCTCAAATCACCATGGTGGTGGCTAATCTACACAGCACCAAAATATTCTTGTGGCCTCAATGAAAGCATACATGCTATATAAAAGTGGGCAAGGGACACGGTGTAATACATGAGAATTCCTGTGCTTTCTCACAAGGTATTCAGACCCGCAGAACAGTAAGAGCTATCACAAGCATCAAAGTAGTTATGTACAGGGATGGCTTTTTAAGGATGGGCAAAATTGTCAATGTCTATTGGGTCTTTCACAATGTTGGGTCTATCTAGGTCCCTCACTTTGTGATATGCCTTGAAGAATCAGTAAGCAAAGTCTCTACCACCTGGTCTCCCTCAGTTCATTTGCCAACTGGGCCTTTATCTGTAAAACTACACCTGGTCACACTGAAACTTAATTACATTTCCAGACACGTATAGCGACATGAAAGGAACAAACCTCCTTTACTATTTGCTCCATAGTTTGCCTACCATATGGCATTTCTAAATATAGAAACCACAAACCTAAAATGTATTCTATAACTAGATTAAAACAGAGGAAAGGGAACAACAATGAAAACTTCTGAGCCAATCTCAAATAGAAGGAAGTGACAAGGGTTTGATTTGTTCTGGTAGCAAGGGTGGGTTCATATCAACTGTCATGGTTTGGCACTAGCTGCATCTTTGACCCCCTCTGGTCTCTCTAAGTGCACCCTCTCAGGTGACAGCCCTCTCACCTTCACCTTTCTCAGGAGTGGAATCCTGGCATTCTCCCACTCGCAGACCAGGTCTCGGGCTTAGCCCCCTGTGTACCAACCACAATTGCTCAGGTAGCCAGACTGGGTTTGGCACCTCCAATTCTTCCCATTGGAACTGTGACCAGTAGTGAATACAGTAACCCAAAACAGGCTTCTTAAAACCAAGTATTGTTTAATTGTAACAACAGGAACACAGCATAATGGGAGAAGAGAATTTCAAAACAACAAAATGTTTATTTTACTTAAAATCTGACCATCCTGAAATGAAGATCTAGGCAGGTGAAGCTTCCTCAAGGCATCCCAGGGCCATCTACCCCCATCAATAGAGTGCAGTATTTTTAAATCCCCCTCTGTCTTTTGATCTCCCCTCCTTCATGGAAGTGTATGTGTGTGACTGAGTTCTAGGAAAGCCAGTCTGGCAAGCCCTCCAATGGGCAGAAATAGAATATTACAGTTAATAATCCTGGGTGTTGCTGCAGAGCTCCTATGTGGGGTATTGTCCATCTTCTTGGACCCATTTCCTGACCACCCAGATATTGAATTAACCCAATATATGCATGCAATAAACATCTTGACAATACTCAGACCAACATATCAAGCACATAGTTGTGAAGGAAGTGGGTGATGCCTGAATTATTTTATATTGTATGTCCTTCTGTTAGATTGTTATTGTGTGGTTTCCTGTACAACTACAAGGGATTAATCCCAACAGGAGTGGACAGCATGTAAGCTAGAAAGCAGACAATACTTGCACGTAGACCCATTTGCTGATATCTAGAAGATTAATGCAAACATCAATTGCTTTGAAGTATACACCTGCTCCTCCCCCTGGACCCCTGTGGACCACATAAAACAGTGTAACCAGGTTCAAGAGACACAGGGCATTGACAAAGACTTTAGGAGTAGATAAAAGGGCAACCCCTGAAGAAAAGGGAGAGAGACAGAGTTTGCATGGATGCTGACTGTCCTCTCCAGACCAAAGAGGTGGGGCACCTGGGATAAACCAGCCTTACCTAAAACATTAGGTAAGACAGATATGGGTTTAAACTGTTTATTGTGTTAAAAAATCTTTTTCTGTTATGCTTTGTTCCTGTTTAGATTAAGCAATACAGAGGCTGTTGTTTGGGTCACTGTATTCACCAGCTCCTGAAGGGAAGAATTGCAGGGACTGAACCTAGTCAGGCCTACTGAGCAGTCCTGGTTGGTCCATAGGAGGCTGTAGTCCAAGAACCAGTATGAGGCCAGGTCTATATTAAAAAGTTAGGTGGTCCCAGCTATGTTGTACACAGGTGTGAAAAATCCACCCCTCTCAGCGACACTGTTAAACTGACCCAGCGCTAGGTCAATGGAAGAATTCTTCCATCAATCTACCTACCACCTCTGAGGGAGATGGATTAACTACAGCAATGGGAGAAACCCTCCCATCATTGTAGAGTGTCTACACTGAAGCAAATGTCTATGCTGAAGTGCTACAGCAGCACTGCTGCAGCGTTCCTAGTGAAGACATGGCCTATGAGTGGGAGAATCATGGGATTCCACCCCAGAGAGAAGTGAAGACTATATAGTGGTGTCTGTGCTGATCTTTGGGACCTGTTTTGCAACATGAAACTTTATTTCGTAGGGGGCTTGGGAAATATCCAAAATATCCAAAGTGAAGGTAGCAAAGTTCAGTGTGGTTCTGTTTTCCTGTTTTGTTTGTGTTTGTTTTTTCAAAGTAGAGAGAAAAAAAAATTCACTGGTCAGCCAGGGACTCAGGATCAGTCCTCTCTTTCTGTGCCTGTTAGCGAGAAAATGAGAATCTTTAGCTTTTAATCTTCTAGGACTTGTGGTGATAGCACTGCTACTTCTCACAGTCCCTTTGCCATTTCTTCACCTCCTACCACTTGTACTTTTTCCCACAGCCCCATTTTTTAAAATCATACAGTGGCAGCTACAGATGATTGGGGAAAAAATGACATTTCCATGAAAAATCTGTCCCTTTACTTGCAACCCCCCCCCCCAATTTGGAATTTTCCAACCAACTCCAGCAGCTCACTGCAGCGGATGCCTGCCCCGATCTCTGCTCCCTTGGGAAATTGGGTTCATAACAAAACCCATTATTGCAAGTGAGTCACAAGGGCATGCAGGGATCCAAAGGGTCGGATTATATGCCCACCCTAGGCGAGGATTGCCACTTTATTGGAAGTAGCTATCCTGGCTGGGATAGCAGTAAGGATGCTCAGTACCCACTGTCAGCTCTCCAGTTTTAGGGGTCAGGCTCATCCCAGATGGCCGGTGGTTTTTTCTGTACCAGGGAGATGGCTCCCCTGGAGGGTCCCACGGGCACTGGTGCCTATACAGCTGTAACTCAGATCAAATCTGGCACAGCCCTGCCTGGGCCACACTCGCCTTGGGGGGAGGGCTCTTTAGGGGAGCTCCTGGGACGCGCTATGAAGGGCAGAGCGGGCTCAGGCCTTCCACAGCTCACCCCCCTCCTGGCTCGCGCCTCACGTACCACCCGCAGCCTGGCGCGCGGCCGCCCCACCTCCACGCGAAGCCTCCAGCGAGCGACCTAAGCCAGCGGGGCGGAGACAGACAGCGAGCGAGCCGCGCCGGCGCGGGGCGGGAAGCGGTGCCCGCCCTGCGCTTGGCGCAGGGGAGCCGCGGCCATGGCGGCGCGTGCCGCGCTGCAGCGGAGCGTTGTGTCCCCGGCGGGCGGGCACCGCGCCTCGGTGATCCTGCTGCACGGCTCAGGTGCAGGCCTCCAGGCTTCATGTCCCCAGGCACTTGCAGGGGGCCGCTAGGCTGGGGCCAGCCCGGGGACCCTGCCCCACTCTGCAGGGATGGGGGATGGGGCGAGCCACGGGGGCCCTGCCCCAATCTGCAGGGAGGTGGGCCGCTGGGCTGGGGCGAGCCACGGGGGCCCTGCCCCACTCTGCAGGGTGGTGGGCCGCTGGGCTGGGGCGAGCCACGGGGGCCCTGCCCCAATCTGCAGGGTGGTGGCTGAGCTCGGGCCTTAGGGGTGTGTTGTCCAGTAGTGGTTAGTGCACAGGTATGGACCATCCTGAATTTAGGCTGGAGGCTCAGGGCTTTACAAGGCTGCCCAGAGGATTCAGGGGGCCTGGGGCAAAGCAATTTCGGGGGCCCCTTCCATAAAAAAAAGTTGCAATACTATAGAATACTATATTCTCGTGGGGGGCCCCTGTGGGGCCTGGGGCAAATTGCCCCACTTGCCCCCCCCCCCAGCGGCCCTGAGGCTTTACTGATGTGAGTGGCACCCCTACCTTTAATGAGATGACTCCTGTGAGTAAGGGCTCAAAATCACACCCTTGACCTCACTATGCCTCATTATTCTCCACCTGTAAAATGGCAATAGGGGCAGTAGAGGGACTCTGTCAGTTTGAAATCTAGACAATTTTTAAAACTGAGTTAAAATGAGTTTGAGGTTCTGTATCTGCTCCCAAATTCCCATGCTAGTTTTTGTGGTTTTACACCCACAATTTCCTCCCCTTTCAAAAATGGTTTTTTCTCTCCCCTGCTGCAGTCTGCACACAAATAACAGGGAAACGAAGGGTACAAATCTTGCAAATACTTAGGCCATGTCTAGACTAGGATAAAAGATGTGGTAGCTAACATCCTAACTGATGCATTTTAAAAGTCTAGTGTAGACAAGGTGGGATGTATTTTAATATATATACATAAAGCTGAGGCTTCTCCTCAGCTTTAACTTGACCAGTTCAACATGTGTTAAAGGCATGTGTTAGCAAATATAATATTTATCCTAGTCTAGACAAGGCCTTAGGTATATGGATAACTGAATTCATGCAGGGGATTACCTTCATAAGTAAAAAATTACTTATGTTCACAAAAAATTTACAGGATCGGAGTGACATTTTCAAAAGTGCCTAAATCAATGGGACTGGTGCTCCTGTATCATGTACAGGTCTGTCACATCTTACGCGCATTTAACATGCGCAATTTCAGCTTTACGCGGTCAGCAAAATCAAAAAAGAGAAAAATAACAATTTTAATACTGTACCTGTAGTGCGGGCAATTCTGCCCGCCATTACACTCAATGTAATTTTGACTATACGCGATTTTCGCTTTACGCTCTGACTGCGGAACGTAACCCCAGCGTAAGATGCGACAGACCTGTAAATGCTTTTGAAATCCCCAACCCAATTCTTACTTGACCACACAGGTGAAACGTTTAAACTAACTATATGAAAAAATGCTTTTTAATTGCACAGAGTGAACAAACTGAAAAAATATTTCCTCCATTATAAGTTATAGTCATTTTAGGTGTTGCTTGTAACAATGTTAGGTTAAAAAAAATAACATCAGGTAGAAGTGTAATCTTGAAATTGACTGTCTCTCTTTAATTAATTAAGTGTATGCGTGTTTGCTGTATTGAGGCTTTAGGAATTCATTCTGTTGTGTCTACAGGCATCTGTCAGTGCTTGAATTAGATCTCTTAAAGTTATTTTACTGATATATATGTATAAGCATGATGTTTATATTTGATTTGACAAAGTATTCATATGTTTATTTATTTTTATAATCCAGTTTGAATTTAGTTTATTAAACCAGGACTGTCAAAACTGTTTTGATTTCACAAAGCATACAAATGAAGGGGAGTTAATACAATATGCTCAGCTTCTCCTGTTAACTCTAATACTTTAATGCTGAAGGAAATAATTTCCTCTTATTTTGTAGAAGTGGGGGAAGATTATGGTTAGAAGTTGATTCCACAAGTGGTTTAAGTACTGTACAATTTTTCATTTTTGTTATAACTCTACTCATAATATTTACAATGGAGCTGTAAGGAAAAGTAAGAGTGCTCTTTTATCTGGTTTTATTTAACAGTTCTGCAGGGTGGGTTCCAAAGCAGGGGTAGCCAGTTATCTTAGTATGGGCTGGTATGTTACATTGATGCCCTCCGGACAGAGCAACAGCTGAGTGGCAATCCCATGCCACCAGTTAATTGTAATAAGAAGACGAGTTGACCCCAGATTGAATGGGAAGGTAGCGGAGAACTCCCCATGCAGTAAATCCAGTGTTAGCATCAAGCAATATAGTAGTTGAGCAAGAAAAGCAGTGGTCTGGAGTCAGGCCTTAAATCTGTAGTCATTTTGTAGACAGCTACTCACCTCTGTGTATGTGTCTGAGAGAGACATGGAGGGTTGGAGAAGTTTGGCCACTCATGGTTGAAAGGGAAATTAAAATTTGTATTTTTATTTTAAAAGGAAAAGGTAGCAGTCGGAACCACAGCTAGCTGATTTTAGCCGCAGGCTTTGAAATAGGTCCCTGAAACGGAATTGGTTGTGCATTATTCATTCTTCTTAGTACCGTTCAGAAGACAAGATAGTGTTAAAATAGTATGTAAAAATGTCTGAAGTCCAGCACTTTTTGATGTGTGCTTTTTACATAACAGAAATTAGTTGCATCCAAATGGGAGCCCTGGTAATTATGACATTGTTAGGGCGATGGAAGTTGGTATGTGAGGGTCAAAGTCTCTTAACTAATGAGCCTTCTGCAAGCTCTTCAAACAGACTAAGGGGTAGTCAACACTAGAAGCGCTACAGCCGCTGGTCTACACTAGAAGACGCTCTATGACGAGCTCTCCCGTCAGCATAATAAAACCATGTTCCTGAGAGGCAGTAGCTATGTTGGCGGGAGAAGCTCCCGCCAACGTAGCGCTGTCCACACCGGAGCTTAGGTCGGTGTAACTTAAGCTGCTCGGGGAAGAGGAGTTTATTCACACCCCTGACCAAAATAAGTTATACTGACATAAGTGGTAGTGTGTACAAGCCCTGGCTCCCAGCTTTATGCATGCTCCTGCTGACACTCAAAACTCATGAAATGTCAGTAAAGAAAGGGGAGATGTGATGATATCTCCTGTATCACAAAGAAAACATATAAAGATCTATGGCCCCAATCCTGCAAATGCTTATAAGCATGCACGCTTAATTTGATTTGCAGAATCAAGGCTTATGTTCTCTAATGAAGGAAAGATATTTGTAGGGAAAGGAATTTTATTTTCAGGCTTTTAAAAGTATTTTGTTAATAGTGTATCTTAGAAAACCCATATGTTCCAAATTTGACAGTTGAAAACTAGATTTGCTTCGATTCCAGCCTAACCTAGTCACATGATTAAAGTTACTCATGAGCATGTTTGCAGGAATAAATCCACAATGGGTTCCTAGTTATGTCTTTAATTTGTATATAGATTTTTTTTTTAAATGGCAAAGTCAAAATAAACACTGTACAATTTTTGGGCCCAATCCTGGAAAGACTTACTATTGAGGCTAGCACTTACTACTGTGAGTTATTTGTGATTTGACATAAATAGGGCTATTCATAGTACATTTTGTGCTTGGCAGTAAGCAGTGGCAAGACAGGGTCCTTTTGCCTTCCATTCATTAACTGAAGCATAATCCCAGTAGTATTTATTTACATTTTATTTTGTAAATAATGTCTCGGGGGCTTTCTTTGTTGAAACCTAAAGCAATAAAAAGCCTTTTCCACGTAAGGGCTTGTCTTCACTGCAACAGTTACCTTGAGTGAATACACTGGATATCTCACTCAGGTTAGCCTGGCTCCATTGAGAATGACTAGGGTGACCAGATGTCCCGATTTTATAGGGACAGTCCCGATTTTGGTTTTTTTTTCTTCTTATATAGGCTCCTGTTACCTCCCCACCCCCTGTCCTGATTTTTCACACTTGCTGTCTGGTCACCCAAGAATGACTATCCTGTGAAACAATACTTCAAGTGCACAGTGATTTGGATTAGTAGCACAGAGTGATTGGATTAGCCACTGATCAGTTTCTGTAACTCAAGATGCTGCTTCCCCATTGCTTTATTTGCTGGAGTGTCAGTACCACTAGAGCTTCAACCCACTTCCCTGACTGGTTAGCTAGCTCCAATTTAAAGAAACACTTAACTCAAGTTAGACATTTTTGTGTGTTTGGATGAGAGTTGGATAGGTTTGGGGCAAAACTCGAGTTATTCACTGAGAACACTGCAGAACATTTTAAAGGAGGAGAAAATGAATGTTTGTTTGATGTTTGTAAGGCACTTTGAAAACATTGAATCTGCAAGGATCCACACATGTGGACCTGCTTGTAGGATCACAGATTAAACTGTTGTTGGGTGTTGGCCGGAGCCACAAAATTCAGACCCTGATCTCAGCCAACTCTAAGAAAGGGACTGGTTTGGATTTAGGATTTTGATCAACCTGTCATAATTCTAGGAGCCAGATGTTTGGATCTAGGTTCATATTTTGAACTCCTTTTTACCAAGAGTTCAGGGGAATTTGGATCTTAGATTTTAGGTGAAGTCTATTTCTAATAAAAACATCACATTTAATTATTATTTTCAACTACATTTTGAGGACTGTTCATTTAAACCTTCGTAATTTAAAAAAAAATGAAAATAATAAAATGCATTTTTTTAAATGAGGACACCAACTGACAAGCTTTTGGGTTTGTTTTTTTACTTTGTATTTTCTTGCATTCCCCTGTGGGTTTTTTATCACTTTACTGTTAGTGGATAATTATCTAGGTTATAAGAAGGACACAGGATTTTTGTGGCCAATTGGGAAATCAATGGCAGTAGTGCTGTAGCAAAATGTTTATAAAAGCAATAGTATGTAGCCCCTTTAAGAGTGTGATCAGAGAGGCGTTGAGTACGTCCTGTTTTCAAAGAGGTTTGAGGGTTCTTAGTACTTTTAGAAGTTGCTGAGCAGCTTGCAGGATCGAGTTTGTAAATGAAGTGAATTTCAGGTATAAATATTTTTGGCATTGTATGGTGCTACCAATAAATACGTGGAATATCATTTCCTGTGTGTTTGTACTATGCAGGTGACACTGGCCCAGGAGTAAGAGCGTGGATCAAACAAGTTCTGAATCAGGATTTGGTTTTCCAGCATATAAAAGTAATTTATCCAACAGCTCCTGCCAGGTATTGTCCAATGCCTTTTACTATTAAGACTAAATTCCTCTAATCTTCTGACAAAATCATTGTTGTGAAAATATTCTTATACCTTTGGGTACAGGTAATGCTATGTTTTTGCAAATCTTTCTGTACTTTTTTTTTGGTGATACTTGGAGCTCAATAATGCTTTGCAACCAGAGGACCCTATTTTTAAATGCATGAGATTTTATGTAGGACACGCTCTTCTAATTCACATTAAAGCCCTGTCTGCATTACAATTGAATTATTCACAAGAATAATATAGATAGGGATTTTTCTCTGATAGGCTGTAACCATGTTTTATTAAATCATACTGTAGACTATCTCCATACCTATAATTGTTCCCATAAATCTATTACCAAAATTAACCAAACACTTCGCTCTACATAATATCACACTTTGGTTCTGACGAACAATAGTCCTGTGTGACTGGTAGGAGAATTTGCCTTGTAGTAAATATATAGTTAGGAGCAATGAAAGGATCATCTTCAGCTATTGGTGACAGCCCTGGAAATTAAAACATTTGAATCACAAGGTTGCTTTGGTTTTTAATTTAGAATAATTGGGCACAGAATCAATAAAAATTGAGTCCAGCTTCCTCATCACAGGTGACCGCATTTGCAAGACCCATTATTATTTGTTTAGTCATAGTAAAGTGCCACAATGTGCTTAGTGGTGTATATATACAGGAAATAGAGGGAGCTAATGATATTTGCCCTGAGGAGCTTACAAGCCAGGACCAGCATTTTCAGACTTGACTGCCTAAAGCTAGGTACTTAAATCCATATTTAATTATCCAAATAAATGGCTTGATTTTCAGAGATAAGCCAAACGCCTCTGAAAAATCAGGCCACTTATTTGAGTGTCTGATGACCTGATTCAGGAAAGCACTTCCATTGAAGTCAGTGAGACTGAAGCATATGTGTAAGTGTTTTTTTTGAGTCTGGGCCTAAATATGGATTCAGGTATGAATTTTAGGTACCAATGTTTGAAAGCTTTTGTCCTAAATATGTATATGGGGTGGGGTTGGTGACATCTCATGTAGGCTTTCAAGGACCAGAAGTTTGAGAGAGTTTTCATTGAATTGGTTCAGGTGATACAAAAACAAGTAATGATGATAATAATAATAATAATTTGTATTATGGTAACACCTCCTAAGAACGCTAATCATGGGTCAGTATCCCATTGTGCTAGGTTCTGTACAAACACAGGACAAAAAGACAGTCAAGATTTTGTTTGGCTCATCACATATCTATATAGAAACAGTCCTTGACCCAAGGAGTTTACAGTCTAGTTGTTATGCATGCAACATAACTGACTCATTGTACATGGATGAGAGCAACTCAGGGTTGTGGAGAAAACTTGCACAGGCCATTGCTGAAAATCTTTGTGGAAGAAGTGTGTTTTGTGGAGGGATTTAAGGGAGGTAGTTCAATAGGTCAGCTCCACTATGTGCATAATTTTATTCAAACAACATACTGCTCCCTTGACAGCTATGCTAAGTGTGCAGCTAGTGTTATCCATGGGGCCCAAAAGGCTCCATCCTCTGCATGAATATTGGCAGTAGATGCAGGTTTGCTAGAATTAACTTCTGTAATGTTCCTCCTTCAGCCTTCCTGTGTGTGTCCTATGTGGGCAAAATGCCTCAGGCCACATCTATTTGGCAACTAAAGTTCCACTTTCCCATTCCAGCATGTCCAAAGCCACAATCTTGACCTATTATTTTATTTTTGTAGATAACTACAGCTATAGGCAACATTATACATGATTAAATCAGTACATGTTATGATTTTTTTACTTGCACATAGATTGTAAGGTATCAATAAAGATGACATGTAAAGAAAGATTCTAGATTGTAATGTAAAAGGTATGAATAAATAGTTGCCCTGTTTCAGTCAAGTTTACTCTCATTCTTTTCCAAAGCAAACTGAGGTCAAGCATGATTTGATTCAACTTTGCAGCTTTTAGCATGATTTTTCCATCTTGTTCTCCTTGTGTGAAAGGGATATATCCAAAGAAAAATACCTGTAGTGCGTTTGTCTTTGATTGGTAACTGAGAAGTACATTATAGAATATTGCTTTACAGCCCCCTTGTTCCTGTTAAGCACCATTAACTGACACAGTGAAATAAAACAGATGCACTTAAGTACAGTAATGCTTGCCACTGTTTGGAGCTATATACAAACAAAGGAAGTTTGTAAAAGTATGCTTTACTGGTTGCAATGTAAATAACAAAAACCTATATTGGCCAAGCAAAAGTTATTTTGGTGTTTAAATCTAATGCATCTTATACACTTTGTAAAGTCTGTAATGGCTTTTCTTCCCTCTTTCCATAGAAAAGAAAAATCAAGGCCAAAAATATCAAATTGGAGTGACAAATGTTAGGCTCCTCCATCCATATTTAGGAACCTAAATATATGGCCTGATTTTTTTTTTTCCGTGGTACTGAGCATCAGTTAAGGTTTTCAGTACCTCTGAAAATCAGGCCTTACATTACCCAATAGTACGTGTCCAAGTATACTAAGGCCCTGATACTGTGGTTGATAACCTATGAGGGGATGGTTGTGTCTGAGTGGAGCTCTGTTGACATCCATGTAGTTCTGTGCAGGTTAGCAGTCCACAGTTGTGCATCAGAGCATAACGCTTATCGGCAGTTTTGACCCTAACGATTAAAAGCAAAAAGAAGCTTCGGAAGTTAGGCATGCCTATAAATGTTGCCTGAATTTTTTTAAGGGACCTGACAAGGAGTAGAACTTGTGTAATTATATCATGCTGTCATGGAATTTTTTTTTATTTGTTTTATTCCAGCACTGAAATAATTGTTTTTTCCCCTCTTATTTTCTATAGGAGATACTGGGGCTTAACTTACCCCTATCACCCTTAACTCTAACTATCATAGACCGAGCTCCTTTGGAGCAACCAAAGAACATACTCCAGAATAAAATCCTAAAAACATATTCATCCTGCATGATTAGCTTTTAAAATATAAAATGATTTAGTGTTGATTGAGGAATGATACAAGGCAAACTCAACTCCTGAGGGAATTCTGCACCAAAAAATTAAAAATTACGCGCAAAACATTTTAAAATTCTGAAAAATCTGTGTATTTTATTTGTTAAAATAACACAATATAATCACACCATTTTCAATTGTTTGTTGACAAGTATTTTGAAATAAATTACCAAAATAATTGAAGATGGTGTGATTACATTGTTGTTGTGTTACTGTGTTATTTTGCAGAACTTTGCAGAATTTTAAAATTTTTAATTTTTTGGCACAGAATTCTCTCAAGAATACCAGGGTTCTGTGTGGCACAGTCTGGGTGCGGGCAGCTTGTGGGGGGGGGTCTGGGTACGGGGAGGAATCTGGATGCACAGGGGCTCAGTGCGGAGTACTAGGTGCAGGAGGAATGGGACTCTGCAGGAGAGTCCAAGTGAAGGTGGTTAGGGCTCGGGGGGGAGGGGGGAGGCTGGGGGAGTGGGACTTGGTGGGGGGGTCAGGTGCAGCTGGTTGGGGTTCAGTGGGGTGGGGGTCTGGGTGTGGGGGCTCCTGATGCAGGGGATGAGGCTCAGCAGAGTGGGGGCTTGGTGGGGGGGGTTCTGGGTGCGGTGGGCTCCTGATGCGGGGGGTGAGGCTCAGCGGGGTGGGAGTTCGGTGGGTGGGTTCTGGGTGCACAGATGGGGGGGAGGAATCACTGTACAGGGAACTGCTTCCTCTGTCTGCCCAACCCCTGTGCATCCAGCCCCCCACTGAGCCTCCACACACACACACACACACAGTGCAGAGCTCCTGCAGCCAGGGGAAGTTTCTGGGTGTTGATCTAACCCAGCACCTGCAGCTCTGTGCAGGGAAGGGAAGGGGGAGGCATCCCCAGACCTCCCTGCCCCCAGTGATTTACCTCTCTCGCAGCTGCCCAAACAGACATGTCTGAGCTGCCGGGGAGGGGTGAATGAGCACTGATGCAGCTTCTCTTTGCTTCCCCACAGAAACCATTTTCTGCGGAAAGTAAAGAGAATCTGCGGGGGGGAGGCAATTTTCTGCTGCGCAGCAGTGGCATAGAATTCCCCCAAGAGTAAAACTCTTCAGGGAAAAGCCTTATATAATAGGGATGAAATCAATAAGATGCTAAATAAATTATTTCAGTTTTTATAATTGTTTTTAGCCAGTCTGTAGAAGGGATATAATTCTGTTATTCTATAGAAGGTTTAAAAATCCCAGAGAAAGATTATCATTTTTTTTTTATTACACTCTTCTGTAATGGAAGCTGACTGCCTTCAAATATCTGAGTTGCCTGCTTTAAAAAAAAAAAAAAAAAGTCTGTATAATATGGCTGGCTCTCAGTTGCTAAAAACAAAGTATAATTTTAAAAATTGTTTTACTTTAAAATATATATACATATATGGAAATAATTCTGGTATAAGGAATTAGATTAACCACCCTGGAGACTGAAGGCCTTCTATCCCCTGAACAGGTATAACATGGACAGCAACTTCCTTGTACATCCTTACCAATGTGTCTTCTGGGGTATTTCATTTGAGGTGCTGAGGGCCTCAACTGCTTTCTGGCTTCAGGTGTCGATAGACATGTTGATATCAGAAGATGATTAAATATAGAAGTAATTTGAATGAAGAAGTTGACTGAAGACACCAGTTGAGGGCACTGAGCACCTTGCAGGATTTGGCCCTCATTCCTTGATGTATCTGTTGTGACTACCAACATGGCTGCCAATTAGTGCCATGTTGGATTTTTTAATTGGTCACTTGTCCTTTAAAAAGTGGGAATGTACTACCAAACAGTCATCCAATGATAGCTTCAGTCATTACTGATGTGGCGCTAGATTTTTTTGTTTGTCATCAGTCGTCGGAGCCATGCAGTGCCTCATTTTAATGTTCTTTTAAAAAACAAAACAAACCCTTCCAATGACAAGTACTTCAGCCACGTTCCTGTTTAGCTTTTGTTCTTGACATTAAATTGCACCAAATTTTATA